GGAGTGGAGGAAATGGAATGGCACGGAACAACGCCACAACTCCACTTCCAGTAGGTGCGAGCCAATGAGGCGAGAGGAAGGGCACTTCCGAGAACTTGTTGCAGACATCGATTGGGCGTAACCTACCTGAATGGGTCGTCCGATTTGGCGAAGTCGTTATACATTAGGGATTCGCTCATGCGAAGCGGCAAACACTAGCCCGTGAGCCTCCGTTTAAAGGTCGAACCTATGAGCTCTAGTCTCAGGCAGCCTTTATACCTAGCTCTTATTAGTGGGGTGGGGGGGGTTATGACTATATTGATCGTAAAGCACGAGGTTTCAACCAAGCAGCCGCTATAGTACCAGAGATCACAGGATATCATATCTTCTGCTTGCAAAAGCTCTCCTTACGACACAAGTTATTGAAGCTTCAAGAAATCATGCGAATTACTCCATCTTATCCGTCCATTTATCAGTCCTTGGGGCGAATGTTGAACCACCGATCAAAGACCATCTCGGGGTCATATTTCTTTTTCACCTCCTGAAGTCGAGGGTAATTAGGTCCAAAGAGCTTCCTAGCATATCCATCGGTCTCATTGTGTGTCGCGAACGGGTCCCCATAGTTGGCGTAACCAAGGGAGTCTTGAGCTGCTTGCGAAGAAGAAGCTGAGACGATTCGCTTCAAGTTGAGGAGTTCCTCCCATGCACGAGGAGCGAAATCATCGGATTCATCGATACCCATGATGGCGCAAAGCACTGTAACAAACTAGTAAAGAAATTCTGTGTCGGTTAACTTGATCAATTAAGCTCCTGGACCGTCGAGACCCACTGGTTGTCGCTGAGCGAACGCGGCACTTTCAAGCGGCACCGCCAATACTTGCTTATCTGGATAAAACTCGTACATGAGGACCGAGAAGGGAGCTTTCTTAGCAACTTCAGCCCATGCGTCCCATGATTTTTGGACCTGGGGTGCGTCGAAGTTGTCGATGTGAGCGCCACCAAAAACTTTCCCTTTAGGGATTGTGTTCATGGCGTTCTGAAGATACCCATTAATCTACAATGCAGCAAGACGGATGTGGCAATATCGCGCACCCCGAGGTTGCAGACTTCTTCCCATGGGACCTGAGCATTCGTGATGTGAACCGGTCCTAATAGACATGTCGTACTTTAATGCGGTAATCCCAAGACCGAGTGTGATACACACTTACCCAGATCAAGGAAACGACGGAAAGCAGCTTCTCCCTCCTCCTGAGTTGAGTTACTAACTCCATTCAGGATCACGTATGGCTGTCCCGGAAAGGGTTACCTCGCCGCTCAGAGTTTACGTTCTTGGGTTTCTCACCTTTCCATCAGGTCCATTGGAGACGAGCATGATGATTGTCTCATGTTGTTTCTGCACCGCCCTCCATTCATTGATAGTCGCGACAATAGCTTCGAGTTGCGTTGGGAGGTATACGTAGCCTGCAAGAATATGGGTGAACGTTGATGATGGAGCGAACGCTTGTCGTCATACGTACTGAGGGTGTAAGCATCGCGTCGTTGGGGGTGAAGCTTGACCCCGAGTTCGACAGCCACGCCGAAGTTTGAGCCACCTGCATTACCGTATCTTGAGTAGAAGTTAAATGGCTACCAAGGGGACCAGACTTACCTCCTTTCAATCCCCACAGCAGATCGGGGTTTTCGGATTCACTTGCTTGGACGATGTCTCCGTTTGCCAGAACGACCGTCGCAGATAACAAGTTATCACATGCGACACCATACATGCCGAGCGAGTACCCGAGCCCACCACCAAGAGTATATCCCCCAATAGAAACCTGACTGCACTGTCCTGGAGGTTAAGCAGATTGAATACATCATTTCATGGAGAGACATACCAAGCCTGCACATGCAGCGAGACCTAACCCAACGAAGCGAACCGTCAGAAATAGTCTGCATACCCATGCCCTGGTACGATTGAGTAAATACCATATTTGATTGTCTCAGCCTCGATTTGAGCCATCACGGCCCCTGATTGCATGTACCCAATTTTGGCTTCCTCATCGATGCGGATTTTGTTCATTCGTCGCAGATCAATTAGAAGTCCATCGGTAGCGGAGGCCGTACTACTGCTATGGCCCCCTCCGCGAACAGCGAGAGTTAGTCCCTGAGAACGGGCAAACTGCGGGTGACGAGAGAGAGTTGTGAGCGGTGGGTAGGATATGGATAAGATGCGAGCAGTGCCTTTATCGCCTTGGAAATATCTTCGACATCTTCCGGTGTAACTATCACTTTGCTTGGCTTCGTCGAGTTTGGAGCCCATTTGGAGTTATCGTACCCTTCGTCGCCGGGTTCACAAACGGATCCTTTGCAAGACGCCTTCAGGGCCTGTTGTTGTAAAGCTGAGCCCAAAACACAAGACATTCTAAAAGAAAAGAATTGCGGCTCACAGAAAGAGTTTGATCCATCTAACCGCAACCGAGCTGTGAATCAAGAGGAGTAGGAGAGGGGAGTAGCAAATTGCTTGCCGCGCAGATCAACGTTAATGTCCCATATAAAGTCTTACCGTAAAAGGGACATCAAAGGACTGGATCTCGGTGCCTCTATATCAGATCGCTGCATATTCTCTTATCAAAACTAAATTATGGAAGACCCGACGACGCAAACAGATTGTGATCATGAGACACACGTGTAGTGTGAATATTTTAAGCAACTAATTTTGCCTTCCTCAATTGCTCTCGGCGTTTATCGATGGGTGAAGCGGGAACGCAGTCCAAGATCTGGAGAGTTCGTATAAACAAGGCGGAAGCAACCGCTAAGTTGATCCTTCTCAATTTACGTAACTCATTCGAAATTAATATTATTGGGCAAGGGGTCATCTGAATCAGTTAATATGAGCCTCTGTCAAGCACGCGAACAAAGGCTTCGGCGAAAGTTCGGAATTTGGGCATGAAGTCTATTGACTGCTTCGAGGCAAACAATATTTGAACCCCGCCTAATTCATCTTCCACCTTCCGTTCGGCTGGAGAGGGTCCTAGAGAGGGAGAGGGCACTATTTTGATCAGAACAAGCACTGACCCAGGATGAACTGAAAGAGTTGAATAAGAACGTCGCGCGTATTCCAACAGAGTAAAGAACAAAAAAGGTGCATTTCCCTCGCCGGGAATCGAACCCGGGCCGGCTCGGGCCACGTACGAAGTGAAAGCGAGCTATCCTAGCCATTGGACCACGAAGGAAGACAAGATTGAGTCTTTCCTGTTTTGGAGTGGTCGGAGGTCGGGTGAGGACCAGGGACCACAGACCGCTTGGAACCCTCACATCGTGAGGGGAGAAATCCCGAGACTCCACAAGTTATATTTCATGATACAGAGATGTAGAACAGCTGCTAACTTCAAAAGGCGTGGGCCATGCCCTGGATAGGCCTCTGGTCCGTCTCACACTATAACCAATTCTCAGTTGGCTGGTTGGATCGCGAACCACCGGTTGAAGACCAGGTTAGGATCATACTTCTTCTTGATCTCCTGCAGCCGGGGGTAGTTTGGTCCAAATATCTTCCTAGCATACTCGTCCGTCTCGTTCAATGTTGAGAATGGATCTGCGTAATTCACGTATCCCAGCGACTCCTGAGCCTCTTTCGAGGATGACCCGGAGACAACGCTCTTCAGCCTCAGAAGCTCATCCCGCGCATGGGGGGTGAACGATTCGTCCGTCCAAACAACGCCGCAGAGGACGGTCACAAACTACAAGAAATGAGTACGCCGATTATGTGAAGTAAACTGAAACACCTACCTCATGTCGTTGTCCGAACGCAGCCTGTTCGATTGGCACTTTTGCAATTGGTTTGTACGGATAAAATTCGTACATAAAGGCTGAAAAGGGTGCTTTCTTGACAATCTCGTTCCATGCATCCCATGACTTTTGGACTTGCGGCAGGTCGAAAACGTCGACGTGCGCTCCCACCACCATCTTGTTTCCGGGAAGCTCATTGAAAGTGTTCTGCAGCGCGGGTCTCCGTCATCACATCGTAAGAGAGGACCAAATGCTTTGAGACATACTGCTAGGTTGCTAACTTCGGTGTAGGGGATCTGAGAATTCGTGACATTGACCGGACCTAGCGGGGGTGGCCAGGTTTGGCCGCCGGTGCACGCGTCAGGTAAGTTCTGGACTCACAATGACAGCAGCTCACCAAGTTCAAGGAATCGGTTATAAGCAGATTCACCATCTTCCTTCGTCGCATTGCTGACACCATTAACTATGACGTATGGCTAGCCCAGTCTAATGGTCAGTAACGCGATGCCATTGGATGCTGAGGCAAAGGTTCTGATTTACATTGCCATCAGGACCCAGGGTGATTAAAAAATGGATCGTTTCGTGGGCCTTTTGTTCCTTACGCCATGCGTTGATCGTCTCGACTACTTGGGGTAACTGAGCCGGGAGGTATACATAGCCTGGCAAAGGGGTCAGATGCTTTGACAGATGCATTTGAATGGGCAGACAGACTAATTGCGTAAGCATCAGCTCTCTGGCTATGGAGCTTCACTGCGACTTCCGCCGCAACCCCAAAATTCGAGCCACCTGGTATACCTTGCTTAACCAATGATAATTCTTGCACGGGTGAACACGAACACCCACCTCCACGCAGAGCCCAAAAGAGGTCTGGGTTCTCGGACTCATTCGCTTTCACAATCTCGCCTGAAGCCAAAACGACCGTGGCGGAGACCAGGTTGTCGGCTGCCAAGCCATGTGAACCGGTCGAGTAGCCGATTCCGCCACCAAGAGTGTAGCCTCCAATAGATACTTGACTGCACTGTAATGTCAGTTCGCTTTTTAGTGGGGCAAAATCTCGCCGAAGATTTAATTCTGTGAACTCACAATTCCGATGACTGCGGCCAAGCCTAACAGACATCCGGCGGCACCGCGGTAGCACACCATGAGCAAGAGTGTGGCGATACAGCTTTTTCTCCCGGACGGACGCACCGTACTTCATAGTTTCGACTTCAATGTCATGAGCCCTAGCCCCCGCCTGGATGTATCCAATCTTGTTCGCTTCATCGACCCGAATTCGGGTCATTTTCCGCATATCGATTAACAGGTCGTCAGTTGCAGATGCTGTACTAGTGCTATGTCCACCGCCGCGAATAGCAATTGCGAGACCTTCTGAGCGAGCGTACTGGACGAAATCAGGTTAGTAAATCAACGTCGCTCAGTTATAGCATGCTCCTGAAATATACACCTTTATCGCCTTGGCAATATCCTCCGTCTCTTCCGGAGTGACAATGATTTTACTGGGTTTCGTACCGTTTGGTGCCCATTTTGACAGATTGTAGCCCTCTTCTCCGGGCTGGCAAACGGTTCCCTTGACAGACTCCTTGAATGCCTGTGTAGGGTTAGGACTCGATTGATATACACTCCAAGAATCATACGGACTGTAAACAATGATGACATGCTCGAGAGTTCGAGAGCAGAAGGTCTGAGGTATGTGAGTGCTACGCTGTTCCAAGACAGACCTCATGGGCGAACGGTCTATTTATGGGGTTCAAGCGTTTGACGCCCCGGTATGAACTTCCCGTCATGTGTGACAAACCTTCGCTGGTCAGGATTTCTTAACAATCCTCGCTCCAATGACAAGCCATCGGTGACGGACGGGCGATCAGATATGACCTTTCAGAAGGGACG